AAACACACAAAGAACTTAAGCTAAAAAGGATAGATATCAAAACAACTATAACAGTTCAAATTGTATTTTAAATAGCAATTTAACAAAAATTTAATTATATTTTTAAAGGTCAAGGACATAAATGTAAGAATCACTGCCATTTTTTAAAACCAGGGAATTAATGAAAAAAAAAAATTGGCAGAAACAGTGCAGTGCAGTGCCTACAGTTCCACCTACTCAGGAGGCTGAGGCAGGCAGATCCGTGATTCCAGGAGTTCAAATTGAGCCTGGACAATGTGATGAGACCCTATCTCAAAAAATTTTTTCAGAAATAAAATAAAAACATATAGAATAAACATGAATAAATTAAAACTTTTATAAATGAAAACATATCATTTAAATTAATTTAAAATTTAATTCATCAAACTGGATAAAATTAATTTGATTTATTAAATTTAAAGTTTACTAATTGAAAAGCTTCAGTAGATGGGACAAATTCTATAATGATAACAGTTATAAAGAGCTAGTAAATTAGAAGATGATACTGTGCGATTTGCCCCATAATATAGCACAGTGCAGCAATTCACAGGCAAGGAAGTGGGAGAGGCTCTAGCTAAGAAGGCTTAAGAGTTAAAGAAAAAGAATGGAGGGAATGGTGGGTACAATATTTGGAGAGATGATTATGAGAATTTCTAAGACTTGAAAAATGACATGAATTCACAGACTGACAGAGCATTCTAACTAAGCACTTAATAGAGAAATTCAAAACTAAAACCATGCCTAAATATATAATGGTATATTATTATTATCATCATTATTATATATCATCAGGTTATTAAGGCTAAATGAAAATAAATAAATAAGCTTAAAAGGTACAAGAGAAAAAAACGCAAAGTATCTACAAAGGAATGACTATTCTACTGTCAGAAGTCTTCCCTTCTGCAGTAACTGGTGAAAGAAAACAAAAAAAATATTCAAAGTACTGATGAAAATACCTGTCTACCTAGAATTTTATACCCAGATACATCAAGAATAAACCACATTAAGAATAAAGATAAAATAAAGAAAACTTCTAATATGCAAAGCCTAGAGAACCTAACACCCGTAGCTCTAAGTTAAAGAACTGTTAATAGATATATTTCAGCAAGAAAAAAAGTAAATCCAGAAGGAAAATTGAAGACACAATTGTTAAAAAAAAAATGACAATGAGAATATGGTATATGACAAACATTATGTTACAAATTAGCGGGAAAAAACTGAAAAAGAACCCCAAAACATGTGAAAAAAATTAACAATTCTAAGAAAAGGAAAGCTGATTGGCCAAAAAACAAAAGACAAAATAATTAATCTCCTCCATGAGCAGAAAATTAAAATAAAGAGACAAAATTTCACACACCTCAGAGTGACAAAAATTTAAAAGACTGATGATATCAGCAAATGTTGGAAAATAATATGTAGGAAGAGGAACTATCATACACTGCTAATAGATATGTAAATTGCCCTAATCCAGTTAGAAAACTTTCTGAGACTATCTGATACAGATGACATATAGACCCTACTATCCAGGATTTGCAACCTAATGAGACATGCCACAAACATTTACTGCAGCATTATTTGTAAGACTGAATGATTAAAAGCAATCAATCTACTAAGAAAATAACAGATAAATTGTGTAGATTGTGTAGTTGCAAAACGGACACTAAAATAAAGTTTCTAAATTTTCTTGTGTCAACATTAATAAATCTAAAACAATGTTAGGCAGTACAAACAAGCTGCAGGATAGTTATAATTTGCATAATATTTTAAAACATGAAACAATGTTGGATGCTTACAAATATAAAAGTTAAAAAAATGCATAAGAAGATAAATACCAGATTCAAAGTAATAATTTACTCCTGGTTATGGTTGGAAAAGAATGGGATTTGGGTAAGTTATATGGGGGAATTTCAGCTACATTTTCTAATACTTTATTTATTTGAAAAATTAAAACATCTGTAGACAAGAAAGTAATGAATAAAGATATTAAATGATTCACTTTTTTCCAGCAACTCCGTTTCCATGTCCAGTCCAGGCTGGTCGTAAGACAAGAAAGGGAAGTACAATGGAGTGACTGACAGGGCGAGGACTATTCACTTAGATTAGGATTTAACCTTGTCATCACTGAAATGCCTGTTAGTAACTATAGCTAGGGTTTATACCACAGCACTTAATTTCTAAAAAGAAAGATAATGAGAGAAGTCACTGGAGAGATAGTACAATATTTTTAGACTATACATTTTTAGTTCTTCTAAAAACAGTAGTTCTTGGATTGAATACTCCTCAGTAACGCTTAGACATCAACAGGATTTACAGCTAACCTGGGTCATTTACACTGAAGCTGAGGGAAACATATAAAACAAACATATAAGCAGGCATTTTAGACATTCTCTTAGTTTAAGTAGCTTGTTGCAAAAGAAAAAAAAATCAGAAAATAAAATATCTGTCCTCTAATCCTCCAGTATGTCTTGAATTTCAAAGTTTGATCGTGGCTTTGATGTACAGACTTCGTGCCTCAGGGCATGAAAGATTGAGTGCCCTTCTAACTTCTCTTTTCAGTAGAAGAAACCCTGACGAGGATGTGAAACAGGACTGCAGCAGTGGAGGAGTTACTGCTCCATGGCTGCTTTTTCTGTTTCCTTTCATTTTAGTTCTCTTAGGGCCAGAGTCAATAGCTGGATCTGGTAGACTCCATGGATTAGTAAATTAGGCTAGGTTGAAAGAAAGAACTTGAAGCAGTTTGAAACTTATTTGGGAGTTTTGAACTCAAAACTGAGTCTTTGAGGGTTGGTTGATTGGTTGATTGGTTGGTTGACATGGCACGTAAGTGAGTTAGTGAGTTCATTCTGAAACGTTACCTTTATGTAGGAAGACTAGGGATGAGACAAAGAGAAAATTCAAGCTTTTTAACCAGAGACTATAGCACATAGTCCACAGTGACATGATCACAAAATATATTGGAGTCTGAAGGCCTTCCTAATTTTTGGTAGATGTGGGCTTGGTTTTTCAGAAAATTTCAGGAAAAATCAAAGTATTAACATGTAGCTTCAGTTATTTCTGGGTCTCTTAAAGTCAAAAGCAAAGATAGATTAAGACCCTGAGCAACAAAATAAAAATACATCCAGCTACAGATTGAAACATACTGGATATTCAATAGTTATTTATTAAATGAACTAAGTCAAATTTGGAGTTGTCATGTTATTAAAATTGAAATTTTTTAAATGTAAAGTTTAAACTAAGAACATTTCTTTAGGTCAGGCTATAGATGATGTCCAAGAATCCTCTCAATCAATTCTAAAACTTTGAATCAAAAAATTTTTTTTCTGTCAACCTAAAATGGTCAAAAGGGTCAGAATATCATTTAAAGAGAGTTTTTTCAAGCACAAAGTATGAGGCTGGAACACGTGGAAACACCAGCTCCGTAAGCATGCAGTCAGTCTCTGACGTAGTGAAATTAGGATTTCATTTCTATAGGCAGAGACAGAGAAGTTTTTATCAGGATTACAAAAAATTATTCATACAAGTTTGACACTTGGTTACAGAAATTTCATTGGTTATAAGCAGTGTTTCTTTTTTGGGAAGGGTACATTTAACATTTTTTTACACAGAGTCTAATAGTTATTTTTGGGTTTTCTGTCATCTGACCTAAGCAAAGCAGGACAAGAAAGACGGGAAGTTAATCTACAAGGGTCATTAATTAAGAAGCCAGGAGGTTTTTGTCCCTAACATCATCTAATTCCCTCTAGTCATTGTACAGAACAAGAAAAATAAAGTGAGTTAACCTATAATTGAGAACAGAAGTTATAACTATATGTGACTCAGATCACAGTCCCATCTTTCTCAAGGCTTAAAGTGATTTTGGAGTTTCAACAGCTTTTAAATTTTACTTATTTTCATATTTCTTTTCTTTTTGTTTTGTTTTTTTGTTTGTTTGTTTATTTGAGATGGAGTTTTGCTCTTGTTGCCCAGGCTGGAATGCAATGGTGGGATTTGGGCTCACTGCAACCTCTGCCTCCTGGGTTAAAGTGATTTTTCTGCCTCAGCCTCCAGAGCAGCTGGGATGACAGGCATGCACCACCACACCTGGCTAATTTTGTATTGTTAGTAGAAACGGGGTTTCACCATGTTGGTCAGGCTGTTCTCGAACTCCTGACTTCAGGTTATCCACCCACCTTGGCCTCCCAAAGTGCTGGGATAACAAGTGATCCCAAACCAAATTAGCATATATTCTTAATAAAAGTAATAAAACACAAGTAAAATCTGTTTAATAAGAATTTTGCAAAACGGTGGGATGGGGAGGAGATATACATATCGATCATCGATTTTAAACAATGAGTATTTTTAAAGTTTTCCAGCGAATGAACTACTCAAGCAAAATAGAAATGTTTTCTTTAAACTTTTATAGAAAGAGTGGCTTGATAAACACCACATAATATATTTTTTACAACATTGGACAGTTTGAAATTTTATACTTAATATAGAAAAAATAAGCGCTATGTTCACATGAAGAAATAAATAATCATATAACTACCATTGGCCTGAGCCAAAATTTATTTTCTGTCACTTGCCTGTTACTAATGTAAAATTTCCTTCGCATGAGAAAAAGAAAAATAAACTAGGAATCCGGAGATACAGACTGCCAGGTACTTGTTGAATTACCTCAGACAAATAATTTAGTCTGTGAGTTATCATTACATTTATCTGCGGGATGGAGATAATAGTATTTGCTCTTCCTAGATCTCAGTATTGTTGAAAAAGGAAAAATAAATGTGAAAGTTCTTCAAAAAGCAGAAAGCACCATATAAAATGTACTTTATTAATTGCTGCTAAGAACATTCAATTCATGAGTACTGAACGGTTTAGTGCTCACAGAGAGTGAAAATATGTGTTAATTTCTGGTATGCGTAATCCTTGGTTCATGCAAGTATTGACATCAGCCTTTCTCTTCTTTCTTTTCCCTTTCTCCATTTACTTCACGTCTGTAGAACCTCTGCCTGTAACCAGTGTTTCAATATATGACTATAAACCTTCTCCTGAAACAGGAGTCCTATTTGAAATTCATTACCCAGAAAAATATAATGTTTTCACAAGAGTGAACATTAGCTACTGGGAAGGTAAAGACTTCCGGACGATGCTATATAAAGGTAAGCGGCAAAAGGAAGTTTGAATCACCGACAACTATCACTTTTTACAAAGCTTTTCCCAAATGATGTTCTCTCTTACTCCAACGAGGTTTTATAATTCACTATCTGACCTATAAATGAACCATTAAAAATAGTTATTGATTTATGAAAATCATGTTATAAGGAGGCCTAGAACATCTGGTTCATTACTTGAGAGCTGTGTTTCATGTGCACAGCATGAGAAATACTCAAATTATTATCACTTACATATTACTATTCCCTAAGGCATCATGCCTGGTGCAGGAAATAAATTTAGGCTTAAGTTTAGAAGCACAAGTAACCATTTCCTTCTGGGTATGATACATGGGCATTTCTGGGACTGGGAAGCTGGAGTGGTGTTTTTCACAAAGTTTCACTTGGAGATGATCCAACATCCTCAAATGCAAAAGACAATCCTTTTTAGTTTCTGTGTATATATTTATCTGTTTGACCAGGTAAATGAATACATTAAAACACAAAAATTAGTTTTGCTGTTTTACTGGCTTGATGGGAACCTTGTGGGGAGGGGAGAGAAAAGAGGCCAGGAGAACTAATACTGCAAATTAGTCAAAGGAACGAAATAGACTTCTCTGGAAAGAAGGGGCTAGAGGGAGAGGGAAGAAGGGGCATTGAGCTTCATTGGGAGTGAAATCCAGAGAAGGAACTTGAATACACTCAGGACACATCAGTTGGGGGTGGGAGGCAGGTAATGGTATCAGAATTGGCTGACTGTAACTGGAAACGTGTATTGGTGGGAAGAGAAAGAATATTGAAGCACATAGAGCATGACATCCAGAAAAATGTCACTTTGACTTGCTGCTTTTACACACTCATTTCTTCCATGGATTTATTTTTTTTATAAGACCTATTTAAAATATAGGCAGTGGGGCTGGAGTGGTGGCTTATGCCTATAATCCCAGCACTTTGGGAGGCCGAGGCAGGCAGATCCCTTGAGTTCAGGAGCTTAAGACCAGCCTGGCCAACATGATGAAACACTGTCTCTACTAAAACATACCAAAAAAACTAGCTGGGCATTGTGGCGGGCGCCTTAATCTCAGCTACTCAGGAGGTTGAGGCAGGAGAATCATTTAAACCCAGAAGACAGAGGTTGCAGTGAGCCAAGACCGCACTACACTCCAGCCTGGGTGACAGAGCAAGGCTCCCACTCGGAATGAATGAATGAATGAATGAATGAATTAAATATATGCAGTGAATTTAATTTTTTTTAACTTTGAAAAAAGTAAAAATAAATTTCACAAATTATTATATTCTTTATTTACAATGAAAACAGATTACCTGCAAATTAATAAATGGAATGTTATTTATTTATAGATCATATGCAAATACATTTATGAATGATTAAAAAGCAATTGCTGAAATTTTGTTAACAACTATGAATTTAAGAAGAATTAATATACCCTTATTCTTAAGTCAACTAATTTTCAAGCAATTTTTAGATTTCAATTCAATAAGTGATACTTTTTTATTTCTCTCATTTCTTTTGAGTTGGACTAGTTTTTTAAGTTCATTATTATTCTCTTTAAAGTTTTCTAAGTGGAATCCAAATTTTTATTTTTTCTCTTTTTGGGCAGGTTCTGTCTACAAACTGGCAAATACACCAGTTTTAAATTAGGCTAGTTTTTCTAAATGAAAACTTTTCTTGTAAATTGTTTTTATTTTAGGCCAGAAGGTGGCAAAATACCTTGAATTTTTATCTTAAAGTAAATGACCAGTGTAGGCCAGTCGCGGTGGCTCACGCCTATAATCCCAACACTTTGGGAGGCCTAAGAGAGTAGATCACCTGAAGTCAGGTGTTTGAGACCAGTCTGACCAACATGGAGAAACCTCATCTCTACTAAAAATTCAAAATTAGCCAGGCATGGTGGTGCATGCCTATAATCCCAGCTACTCAGGAGGCTGAGGCAGGAGAATTGCTTGAACCCAGGAGGCGGAGGTTACAGTCAGCTGAGATCATACCATTGCATTCCAGCCTGGGCAACAAAAGCAAAACTCCATCCCCCGAAAAACGTAGTAAATCGCCAGTGTAAACTTACTCTCTACAATTTCTTTCTATTATCTCCTTCATTTAATACACACCTGAAAAGTTCCTACCATAAAAAGTTAATTCCAACTGTATCCGATCTCCTTAGGAATTCTAACAGAAAAAGCCCTTCAGTATCAAGTCTAAACATTTGAAGTTTCATCTCTAGCCTTCTACTAACTTTTAATTACTGACCATACCAGGAGTTGAAAGAAATATTATTTTGTGAATGTTTAACCATAATTGTTTCAAACTTTTCAGAAGTGTGTGACATTTAGAAGACCATATTTTTCATGTAGTTGACTTTCTCTTCACAGATTTCTTTAAGGGAAAAACAGTATTTAATCACTGGCTGCCAGGAATCTGTTATAGCAATATCACCTTTCAGCTGGTATCTGAAGCAACTTTTAATAAAAGTACCCTTGTTGAGTACAGTGGTGTCAGTCATGAACCCAAACAGCACAGAACTGGTAAGTCTCCTGAAGAATCAAATATAGTGAAAAACTAATTCAATTATATTTTGCTGTATATTTATTTTTTATCCTAAGAAAAATTCTGATCCAGACCAAAGAAAGAAAATATATATGTTTAATAACCTAAAAAAATTTTCTATCAATGTAAAAAGAACTGGCCAAAATATTGAATAAGAAAAATCTAAAATATGTCAATGCAATCATAGATTTGTAATATTTGAATAAAAAGCTACATGATATTACCAAAGGTTATAATTAAGTCACTTACCTGGATCTAGTAGACATCAGTTATTGCTGACAATTGGCCCTATGGCAGAAAAAGAGAGAGAAGACATTCTAGTACAGATTATCAGATTATTAAAGGAAAATACTGAAATTCAAATGTATCTAAAACTTGCAGTGTTTAATTTTTGTAGCATCACTAATATGAAGCACTATTGTAGGATGAATGGATGAATGGATGGATGGATGGATGGAAGAGTAAATGGTTAAAATAAGCATTATTTACTAAGTACCAATCACCAATATAAGCAACACTGTATGTGCCTAATGTGCCTGAGTACTCAATAGGAATGCTGGAGAGGCCATTCTTGTGAGCCCCAGGAAGGGATTATGATAGATTACTTCTAAAGTCTTGACAGTTTGAAATTCTAAGCTGTCATAATTCTTATTCATTAGTCTAAGACCAGGAAACTATTTCAGCTAAATCACAAATTCACCTGATGTCAACATTTAAGATTCTATTTGTGTTTTTCATTATTCCAAGTAAGAAGTAAAAACATTAATTGAGCACATTCTACTTGGAAGCTGTTCTAAATATTGAGAGATTAAGATAAGACTGATGAGGCAGGATCTTTGTCCTCAAAAAATGGTACAAGTACTACACAAATGGTCGTCATACAAGGCAGAATGAGATAAATATTGTAAAAGAGGTACAAAGTTATTTAACAACACACAGGAAAGAGAGATAAATTTTATTAGAAACTCATGGGGCCAGGTGCAGTGGCTCATGCCTGTAATCCCAACACTTTGGGAGGCCAAGGTGGGTGGATCACCTTAGATCAGGAGTTCAAGACTAGCCTGGCCAACATGGCAAAACCCCATCTCTACTAAAAATACAAAAATTGGCTGAGGGTGCTGGCAGGAGTCTATAATCCCAGCTACTTGGGAGGCTGAGGCAGGAGAATCACTTGAACCCAGGAGGCAGAGGTTGCAGTGAGCTGAGACCACACCAT